TTTTTTTTTTTTTTTTTTTTTTTTTTTTTTTTTTTTTTTTTTTTTTTTTTTTTTTTTTTTTTTTTTTTTTTTTTTTTTTTTTTTTTTTTTTTTTTTTTTTTTTTTTTTTTTTTTTTTTTTTTTTTTTTTTTTTTTTTTTTTTTTTTTTTTTTTTTTTTTTTTTTTTTTTTTTTTTTTTTTTTTTTTTTTTTTTTTTTTTTTTTTTTTTTTTTTTTTTTTTTTTTTTTTTTTTTTTTTTTTTTTTTTTTTTTTTTTTTTTTTTTTTTTTTTTTTTTTTTTTTTTTTTTTTTTTTTTTTTTTTTTTTTTTTTTTTTTTTTTTTTTTTTTTTTTTTTTTTTTTTTTTTTTTTTTTTTTTTTTTTTTTTTTTTTTTTTTTTTTTTTTTTTTTTTTTTTTTTTTTTTTTTTTTTTTTTTTTTTTTTTTTTTTTTTTTTTTTTTTTTTTTTTTTTTTTTTTTTTTTTTTTTTTTTTTTTTTTTTTTTTTTTTTTTTTTTTTTTTTTTTTTTTTTTTTTTTTTTTTTTTTTTTTTTTTTTTTTTTTTTTTTTTTTTTTTTTTTTTTTTTTTTTTTTTTTTTTTTTTTTTTTTTTTTTTTTTTTTTTTTTTTTTTTTTTTTTTTTTTTTTTTTTTTTTTTTTTTTTTTTTTTTTTTTTTTTTTTTTTTTTTTTTTTTTTTTTTTTTTTTTTTTTTTTTTTTTTTTTTTTTTTTTTTTTTTTTTTTTTTTTTTTNGCTGATATATTTATTAATAGAATTTTTTATGTATAGTGTTTCAAAAGAAAATAATTTTAATGATAATTAAATATTAATAATAACAAATTTATATTAAAATATATGATGTATATCAATTTTGAACACTAATTTCAATATAGAATCTTACTGCATTTAAAATTACGCTGATATGCCAAGCTACAGATAGATACAAATCACTTTATACACTTATTATTTGAGAATTAAGGTGTTTAAGAGTATATGTATTGAATATATTAAAATATTAGTTAAATTTATTATAAAATTTTATTTCAGGGGAAATTGTTGTTTTAGAAATGATCAGATTTTTAATAAAGTTTTTAATTCTCTAATTAAAGATTATATATATAAGTTTTGTAAAACTTATATTAAAAATAAACTTATACAATAATTTATAAAAATTAATTAATATATTTAACTTACGTTAATTTTACATGCATAAATTATTTAATTATATTAAAAACTGTTAGATATATATACAACTTAATTGTGAATTTTAGTAATGATTAATGGCATTTCATTAATTTTAAGTTATTCTAAACTGGAATTAAAAGATTTTTCTTGTGTGTAATAGAAAATTCCAATAATAATCTTACATTCAGTTTTACCCATTATTGTTTTAAATGGTAAAATCCTAATAAGGAAATAAAATCTTATAATACAATTGTATATTTTTCTAATATTAAATCAGATTAAATATCGTAAATTTTAATCAAAAATATGTCATTCATTTACGTCAATGCATATTAGAGATGAAAACCGTAATAACCGTAAAACCGTAACCTTTAACTGCTATAATCAACTGGGAATCAAAGAAGTTACGCCATTAATAATAGTGCAACGGTAATTTATGACGATCTTTATCATCCACCAGTCGTCGTTAGCATTACTAATTTAACATAAAAGAGGTTGAACCAATTTATCTATCGTCTTGGAACCGAGAACTGATTTCTCCCTCCATAATTCTTACTAATAATAAGATTTAATCACGTGTTTATTGGGAAAATATCACATCCGCTTACGTCCGAATATATCAATATAGTTCAAACCTAAACGAAGAATAAGCAAGACTATCTGCAAGACTGGTTATTGGCCTCTTCCACCATATGTTACATATAAAAATATATCACGATTTCCGGCTCGTATCATTGTTTAAAGTAGTCCACGTCCATCGTTTCCCGACCAAATTCGGATTGAAACGATCTTTCACTCGTCCATTACTTCACGTTATCGTAGATCTGGCCTTAAAACGGTCGACATTTAAAATCAATATTTGAATTAATAAATATTGGTCCAAAGCTCAATCGTGTCAAAATACGGGTCAACTTACAATACGTATAAATATTGTATACGATTTTTTTCCGATTTAAAATGGCAATTAATCACTTATCGGCCAATTAATCTGAGAAAGGAGGGAGCCATTTAAAGACGAAAGTGGTAATACAGCACTAGAGCCACGCCTCAGTTGCATTAAGCAAAGCTGTTTTATATCGCTGCTGACCTCTTTATAAACTCTTTTTTTCTCTCTCTTTCTACTTTTCCTCTCTTTGGACTCAAAGGCGTCAGGTTGTCTTCACCAACTTTCTCTACCGTACATGGTCCGTCTCTTTTTGATAATCATTATATGATCGCGTCACTACGTACACGTAACGTTTTACGCAATATAAATGGGTTAAAGGACAACAACAGCAGCTTGTTTAGTTTTCTTGAATGTCTTAAAAAGCGGGTCAACGAAAGAATTTTAATAGGAGTGGTTTGAAGATATTCAGATTTTTAATTGTTTTTTTTTTTTATAATCTTCATCGAAAATTATTATTATTATTTTTTTCTTAAAAATATAAAACTTTCTTTTATAAATTTGTTGCCAAAAATAAATGCGGAAATGCCTCCTCCACGCTTTCAATTTTATTAATTATTATACATATAAACACGCGTTTATCTGTAATTGTAATCTATAAAGTATTTAAAGTACCGTACATAGAATTTAAATATTTTTTAAAATAGTTCGCAACTTACAGATGTTTATACATTATTATCTGGCCTATATTTTGCATTATTATTATTTCCATATATTGAATTAAAATAATTTTTTTGAGGATATCATTTTTATGCTGGGAATACTATGTTATGCAATTAAATTAGGACAAAATGTATTAATATAATCGAAACTCTCACAGTGGGATTTAAGCAATTTTTTTTTTTAATTTTAATATTTTTGACAATGAGGTGCTACGTGTTGAAATCGGGCACAGTTCGAGTTAAGGAGAACTATGTCAGGTTAAACATCCATGCCGACTTTCTGGCTCTGGAAAAATAATTATATATCGAGAGAAAAGCTTAATATATATAATTTTTTAAAGAAAATTTAGCTTAGAATCTTGTTTTTATTTTATAAAAAACACAAAAAACAAGATAAAATGGTTATAAGATCAATTATATGTTAATTAAATGTAACTAAAAATAAATTAATAATATAGTTAATAATGTGTGATTTATAGATTGAGATATTTATTAACTATATAATAAAATATTTTTGCTTTAATTATAATCACAAATTAGCATTTATTTATTATATCATGATAGTGCATTATGGAGCAAAATAATATCCTTGTTTAGCTATAGATGCATGACTGAGAAACTCATTACTTTAACAGCATTAATTATAAATTTGCTTAAGCAAAAACCTATATAGAGTTTGGATTTTCCACTGAATGTCTGATATAGAATGACTCTTCGGTTTTTATATAATGTATTTTTTTTTTTTTTTCAAGAGTGCATTTTTATTATGCTATGTTTTAAGTATAAGAATACGATATCCATAAAAATGTCATAAATTTTATAAAGCAATTTGTTATCTTATGTAGAAATAAAAACACTGTTTATGTCGGAATCAGATACAAGATAAATAAAAACATTAATGAAAGAGAAAAATATCCTATTTATCTATAAACAAAATAATTTTAAAGCAGAATAAACTTCTATATCCTCTTTAACAAACTTTTGTGTATTCATTCTGAATTGTATAATTGAGTATAAAACACTTCAACTGCAACAAGTATACTTATATACATTACAGTATATGGATTGCATGTATAAGATTCCATAGCTTTTTTTTTAAATATATAATTTATATTTTTGATTTTATACATACTGAATTTTATTGGCGAATGTCTAAAAATGGTTATAATCTGCATGTATATATGTCGACTTTCTGAGAATATCAATCAATTCTACTTAGAAACACAATTCTGTTCTTTTTTTTTCTTTTCGTTCTCCTTTAAATCTCTAAACGTTTCTGCATTTTCCAAGGTCAAAATCTGAAAGATGAAACTGTGGAACTGCAAAGAGAGAGAACACAGGAAAAAAAACCCCATTTAATAATAAGTGGATGGGATAAAATGACAAACGTCAACCTGTCGTTCTTAAATAAACAATAATTCTTTGTAACTAAACTATTTTTTTATATGCAAAATCACTACGAATTTTCGAACGTCGATACGTCATTTTTTGCCGTTTTAACGACGTTTTTTTCTAACATACGAATCGAATTTGATATCATAACGGTACAGAATGTTTCGGGATTAATTCCTATTACGTCAACGAACTTACAGAAGCGATAAAGCGTAACGGATATATAATTTTTTTTTTTTTATAATATTTTTCTTATAAACTAACTTCGGTTTTTGTATGAAAGCCTAGCTTTATGCTAGGAGTAAACAGTGATTTATGATAGACGAAGATGTGTATAAGTTTGCGTAGGTGTGGTGTGGCGTCACGAGGTAACTATGCCTTTGTTCGCGACCAAACCTTGTCCGCGAAAACATCAAATACCGTTGGTAACTTCCGTTAAATGCAGGATATCTACGTCATCGACTTCATCCTACCTGATGGCAACTAGTTCAACAAACTTCTCTACACAATTCTCAAAAAGTATATAAACAAACGTCTAAAAAAAGGGACGGCTCCAAAAATTAAACAAACATTTCGGGCACGGCGTTAGATTTTTCTATAAAAATACATTTTCTTTAGAAAAAAATAAAAAAAATAAAAAATTCTCGATAAAATATATAAGAAAATTTCTAAAAATTACTTTATATAAATCCTTATAATTAAAATTTATCGGTATATTTAATAATTATAATCCGTATATTTAATGATAATTAAATTAATTTAAAAAAAAACAAACAATAAAATTAGTCTGGTGGTTGCGATGAGTCACGTAAGAGAGCTCTTACCAGACGGAGCCACAGTCACAACGGCGGGAGAGTCACGTGATCCGATTACTAAGAGAAGTTGATCGGTTGCTACGGTGACCAGTCGTCGCTCGGTTATGATCGTAGATGGAACGGCTTTGACATTTAATACAGTTTCTTTACCGTGTAATTCTTTTTACGCTCTACGCAGTCCTCTCCTCGTAGGGTTTACGTAAAGGATAACCCGAGCTGTGGTCATTCAGCGGTCTCATCGTTATTTAAAAGAGCCGGTATTAACGGAGATTGAAACCAAGATGGCCGCCGAGACGTCAAATTTCGATGTCGGTAACAATCCAGAATTGAAGTATTTAGTGGTAGATAAAAACGTTGTTAACGATCCCACGGCACAAGCCGAATGGACTTCGAAGAAATTAATATGGATACCTCACGAAAATCACGGTTTTGTAGCGGCGAGTATAAAAGGAGAAAAGGGTGACGAGCTGGAAGTGGAGGTCGTAGAGACCGGTAAAAGATGCCTGGTTAACAAGGATGATGTTCAAAAAATGAATCCACCAAAGTTCAATAAGGTGGAGGATATGGCCGAACTCACCTGTCTCAACGAAGCATCCGTCCTGCATAATCTCAAAGACAGATATTACTCCGGCCTTATTTATGTAAGTAATTCTTTTTCGTCTTAACTTCACGTGGTTCTGGTATGGATGTTAAATTAATTGACTTTCGAACAGTTCGCAAGTTAATTAATATGAATACAATTCAAATTCGCCGTCACTGTTATATGCGAAATTTAATACGAACGTTCGATAATTAACGTGTGCGATGAGTCAATTATCGCATTTATGTGACAATAGAGAATTTAATTCAGTAAATGTACTGTAAATGGAGACATTTGGAATAATTAGTTTAATTGTGAGAAATATCACAATTAAAACAAATATTTAATTTACTTTTCTTAGTTTTGCAGTACAATTATCAGCTTAAATTTATTAAAATACAATTAAATATTAATCGTAAATTTATTAATTGTGTTCATTTACATGTACTGTACAGTACATTATGAAAATTTTTTTTTAATGTGAGCATTCCACATTCCTGCATTAATATCTGAAAGATAATATGTACTGCACTTTTTATTCATAATTGATAAACATTTAATATCTTGCGGTGTTAAATAAGGGTAATTAAGTCTATATTTAGATGAGGCCGATAAATACTTGAGTCTTATATTAAGAAATCAATTTAAAATTTCATTTATTAGCTTATTTATCATAAGAATGAATCTTACAGTGATATATCAGAATTTCGAAATATTTGCTAAGTTGTGAAATTACTAACAAGTTTTTCAATAGAAAATAAATTCCCTACAGAATTTTTTTTTTGTACAGGGAAGCATGATTTAGACATTCTGTTTAATGAAACGTGTTACACAGATGGCACCAAACAATACTTTGATGTTTTACTTCTGCTTTTATGTAAATCAGTCGTTAAAGTCAGAATAAACCGAATTAGTTTCTTTATTTAATATGCCTAATTTAAAGAAATTAAATCAATGAAACAATGTTTTTTTTTTTTTTTATAGTGTTAAGTTCGAATTGGGCGTCGTCGCATTGGCGACGGTTGTCTGAATTTTCTTTAGGTCAAGAAAATAGAACAGGTGGAAATGCTAATAAAGGATTGTTTTTGATCAGAAATAACGTCGTCGATCCAAATACAGAGAGTGTATTTGAATTCTGCGATTGCCGTTTTCTGTTGCGAAATCGCAGGAACAAGCGGATGTTTATCGTGTCGAATCGGACTATAAAAGGTCAAACTTTATGGACAGACCGTTGAAGTCATCGTGATGTAAGAGTGTGATCGAGAAGCACATTTCGTCGTTCCGTTTTTTTTTTTTTATTTTTTCTTTAAAACGAAAATTTAATTTGAAGATCATTTAATATCCTGTTCTTGAATGACATTGCGTGTTTGATAATTTCTTACTCTTAATTCATCGGGTAAGCTCTCCGATGACGTCAGTTATAATGGTATTTCGGTATCGAATTGTATACTTCAGACATAAATGTAATCGTTACAATTCGTTCGGAAAGAAGTGGAAGTTGTTTTCTCGACTGGTCTCCTTCCAACCTGTCAAACGGGGATGTTATCTTGTTTCAGTAAATCATCGCCTTGCAGGAGAACCAGGCGCCTTCATTCCATAAGTTTTTGTCTATTGACCTATAGAATGAAGAATTTACTCGAGCCATAGGGCAGTTATTTTTGTTTTTATTATTTTTTTAAAAATTTTTATTGAATCATTCGTTTTAATAGAACACGCCTATTTTAATCATCAGGAATGTTAGCCAGACCACTAAATATTTTTTGATAAAATGAATTTGATCAGTTCATTTACAACTGCACCCTTTTCCTCCAAAGTAAGGAAGTTCCACCGGATTTATCCAGGATGTCCTGGAACAAGAGAGAGTTCTCTTCCTAAAAAAATTCTAGTTATATATTAGAGAAATTGTAGAGAAGTAGAATTTAAAGTTCACTTGTATTTGATTGACTCTTTGTTTTTTTTTTTTTTTGTTTGAATCGTGTCCGGGTTTGATAACCGATTTTTCACTAGTATTTGTTTACTGACAAGTCTAGAAATAAGTTTTGTCGGCTTCTTGTGGATTGAATGTTGAAATACCTAGTTAGAAAGTGTGCCAAAAATGCCATCAGTCATTAAAAAAACCCTCGAATTGTCAGATTTGTCTAGTTTAAATGATTTATCCGTTGCGGTGATCAGCCTTTTATACTTTAGAAGAATCAAAGTTCAATGTTCGAATTTGTAATTTTTCAAAGATTTTAGATAATACAATATCTTGTTTTGCCGTTTTTAAAAATAAATTCATATATAATCACAATTTTAAAAAGAAAAATTATTCAAAGATGGATAATTCATTGTATTATCTATACATAGTTGTTTTAAAGATTATATGTATATATATATATATATTATTTAAAAATAAACTGCAATCTTACGAAATATTTATTTACTCTGTGGTAATTTTAAAGATTTATGAACAGTCATAAATAGCAGTAGTTTTTCTATTATGCGTTAATGGGTTTATTTATCGTTGCCTTTTCATTGTGAAGGAATAGAGTAATTTATTTTTTAACGGTTGGTTTTGTCGAGTTGATGATCAATTAAATTTAAGGTAAGCCGAAAGAAAACAGTTATTGTTGTAATAATGGTAAACATGTAACTATATAATAGCATCCGCTGTAACGCTATTAAAAGTGAGTTTATAGAATGAAAGAACTTTTTATCATAAAGACAGCGTCAAGAGATTACGAGAAATTCCTATGAAACCATTAAAAAACATTTTGTGAATGACTTACGTACTTGATGACGATAGCACAATAGTCATTGATTGCAGACAACTGTATCTGTTCCAATGGATTTTCGTTGTTAAAAGTAATTTGACCTAAGTTAACTATTAGATTATATCATTCGAATGCTTTAAAAAAAATCAGTTTTCTATTAAGAATTCAGCGGAATGCTTCGTGTCACAGTTAAAAAACTCAATAAAATTTATAAAAATTATACTCTATTTAAAATCGTTTCTATTAAGTTTTAAATTTATTAAAGCTCGTTTAAGTTGTTTTGAACTAACAAATATGCGAGTTATAACTTGTTATTCGTTTTTTAAACGAATTACAACGATAAATTTATTGTTTGTTTGGAACGAATCCAATTTTGTACTTAACGTGTGAATATTTTTATTGAGAAAGGCCGATAAAATTCTGTATTTAGGCATTTTTTTTTACTTCTAAAATTATTTAGCTCGTTCAATTTAAAAAAAAAGTTTCCTAATTTAACATCATTTTCTATTCGTTTTCAGACATATTCGGGGTTATTTTGTGTGGTCGTCAATCCTTATAAGAAGCTTCCAATCTATGCAGAAAAAGTGATCGAACTTTACAAAGGAAAGAAAAGGCATGAAGTTCCACCCCATATCTTTGCTGTTACCGATGGAGCTTACCGCAGCATGTTGCAAGGTACCAGCTGCTCATATTTAATCAACTTACGTCCGGGTAGAAAAATATTCGAATATCCTTACCAAATATAGTCAACTACTAGGACGTAAATCACTCGATACTTATCGTTCAATAAGTAGTGACATATGAAATATAATCGTTTAACTGATGTAATAAGGCAGAGAAATGATTATATTGTTTATCATATTTTACATTACTTTCAATATATTATAATATTTTTGACCCGATTAGATGATTTTTTTTCTTAAAAAACGTTTAATATTTGATCATTCAAAAGACCTTGACTTGTAGCTCATATTTAAATTGAGAAAATACTTATATAATTTACATTCTCCGATGTAATCAAGTGATATTCTAATATTTTACATTTTTTAAAAAATTTTTTTTACTAAATTAAACGAAATTTTTAAAATTATTTTTAAATAAAAATAGAATATTTAGTATAATAAAAAAAAATACATTGACCTTTTATATATTTAAAAAATGCCTTTTTTCAGTGGAGAATTTTTTATAAATAATTTGAAATTTTTATAACTAATATCAAAATAACAATAATTTTATTTTAGTTTATTATTATTATTATTATTATAAATTATGTATTAGTGATTATTATAGTGATACTAGATTATTTTAATGCAATTTACATTATAATTTAGTATTAGTTTATTATTTTAATGTATAATATGTTAATATTTAAGTAATAACTATTTAAATGATATTTAAATTGTAAAAATATATTGAAGAAAGATGATGATGGAGAAACAACTTTTTAAATCTTTAAACTGATAATTAAACATGAACATTTTTTGTAAGGTTCTCGTTTGAGAATCTGAGTAGTAATGAATAATTTAAGAAACTTTTACTTGAACTTTCATAATAAATTTGCCTGTATATAATAATATATATTCATTTTATCTATTTACTAGACTATTGTACATACTTAGGGCTGAATGGTGGTATGAGGTGGCTAGTCAATGGCCTCGTGACATTTTTCCTAATAAGCCTTTTTTGAAGGAACTTTAATATTTTATCATAAAAACAAAACTATGCTAAACTGCAAAAGCATGAGAGATAACATCCATTAACCCAATACATTAGAATTACTAAATGGTCTGCTGGAGTTTTGATTGAGCTATTGAGAGAGTATAAATTAAAGTTAAAAATTAATTTTTATTATAATTACATTATAATTTAATTTATAATTATTAAATTTAACATGATGACAACCTAATCACGTACCTGTATTCAAATTATTTTGTTTTGGATTATTAATTAGACTTAAAATGGTTCAATCAAAAATTCAGCAGATCTGTAACTTTTACAATTTACAACCTATTGGTAAGAGCTAATACATTATACTCTTGTACTGTCTGTACCTTTACAATTTACAATATAAAGATTGTATATTGTAAAGCCCCATTTATAATATATATACACACACAACAGCCTTCTTTATAGAAGTAATTATTTCTTACATGAAAAATATGTTGAGCATCAATGGCTTTATTTTAAGTATTAAATATTGATAATTAATACACTTTATATGAAGTAATTTATGACACAAGTTTGATAAACTTGTTATCTTGAAGTTCCATATGTATTTTCAGTTCTGGCTTGATGGTAACTTGTGCCTGAGGCAAAATTGGTTTATTTCTCTTCCTTCCAGAATGATTGCCAATAGAGCACTTCTAGTGCTGGCAGACTTGTATGAACTATTTATAAACAAATTTGAATATACATTTACTTTATTTGGCTTTTAATTTTTATTTTTGGTTATTTTCTTTCCCTTTTGAACATTTTGACCATTTTAGTTTGCTGCTTCTCTCACTTTACTGCTTGAGGCATTTTTCCTCATCCATCAAGCCGACCTGTACATTTTATTACCAAAAGAATTTTCTTTCACAACGTAGTTTTTTAATCAGTTTAATAAATATTAAGTATAAGTAGCTGAATTGAATTAATTTTATTTAAATTTGATTATTATAAAATGTTTTGTTAAAGTATGAATCTCAAAATTTGAAAAATTTGTTTTCTCTGTTATGTACTAAGTAATAGTTGTATTCATTATGTTTGATAATTTGATATATTTAATACATTTTATGCATTTCTTATGAACAGAACCATAAATATTATAAATTTTATAAGAGAAATTTTTAATAAATTGATAATAGTATTATGAACAGGTAGTATGAAAAGAATTTGTCATCAGTTCAGTTCAGTTATTGATTATTAAAACAATTTTTTTTTATTATATCTTCCTTCCAATTTCATTTCTACTTATAAATACTCCCTTTATAAAAGTACAACTGTTTCATATATGAAAAACATTTTCAGACCATTAATTTTACTTTCAGTTTAACTATTGTCCATACAATTATTATTGTCCACCTGTTATAAGATGATTTGAACTGAAGTTAGGCTATTGAAAATGTTTCTGTATGATCAGTAATTTGACTGTGAATTGTTTATTTCCATGAATAATTCCATAATATTTTATAACATAAATAAAATATATGTATATATACTGCACACTGTACATATATTATACATTTGAGATATTTTTTGCAACATGATAGTTTAAATATGAATCATATAATTAATATGTTAAGATTTCTATTGTTTACAGAAGACAATATTTTGAGACCTTGTATAATGGGAAATGTCAGTTATTTCTGTTATAAATATTAAATATTTTTTATGTAGATTTTTGTATAATTAATACATTTAAATATCTACATTAAATTATTTTTGTTTTATAATTTATTAAATATTTATCATAAAAAAAATATTAAAATTTTTATATTAATATAAATCATTTTATCTAATCAAATACTTAATATTTAAGTAATAAGTCTTGGATGTGAAATTCATAATCTATATACAAGAATAATTCTTAAGAAATTTATTAACATACCTGAGTGATTTTAAAGCAGTGCTTCTTACTTAAAGAATAAGGTAAATTAAATGTTAAGATATTCAAAATACTGCATGATGACGGATATTTAAATATTTCAATTTTAATGTTATGATAGGATATAAAAATATTTCATATTTTAATATCATATTTTATCAATTATTCTATTTAAAATAAGTGCATTATTTTATAAGTATATTATTTTGTATTGACTGATACATATGAATAATTTATTAAAATAAAAGTTAGTGTTCTAAATTAATATTCTCATTTCGAAAATAGTATATGTCATTTCAAATATCTTTATTGACATAAACAATAGCAACTTTGCAATTTGCTTGTGATAACTTTGGTAAATGTTATTTATTGTTTACAGTTTTAAATTCATTAAGAATCATGAGAATTAAATCATTTCAAACAAAATTTAAGATTTAATCAAAAATACACAAATATGGATAAGTTTATACATTTTACTTTCCAGGTTCTGTTATATATAACAGAAGGAAAGTATAGTGATTGGTCAAAAAATGACGCCACCCCAGATTTTTACATTTTTGGATTCGGGACCTTGAAACGTGGAGAATGCAAAAAATTTTGGGGGGTTTCTGTATGTACAGGTGTTTGTGGGGGGCACGATTTTGTCCACCCTCTTTGAAGCTTAATAACTTCTGTGCTTCTTTTTGTTGAAAATTTCTGAAATTTTGCAGGGAGATTGATGCTATTGAATTTTGATGATTAAAAGTAAACGATGGGGTGGGGAGATAAAGGTGGGTTGTGTCATATCTCCAGTAGGGTTAGACTTAATGATGATTTTACTTCTTTTTAGCATTTACAATTTTGTATAAAACCCATCCCTACCCTCAAAATTTTTTTGCCATTTTATAATAGTTAAAAGTATGAAAAGTTTTTAATAAAATATCATAACAAATTTGGCCATCAAATGTTGCCAGAAAAGTTAAGCAATCCATTGCTGGATTATTTCATAAAGTAATTAATTAATAGTTTAAATTTGATATAAAACAGACAATCAACTAATTACTATACTATTATTAATAGCTCTTGTTTGACTAAGAGTGCACACAACTAATAAATAATAATTTTATTTAGATAATTGTACAGTAAAGTATGTTCTAAATATTTTTTTTTCCATAATCTTGTTATAAATTATTTATATGATAATTTTAAGTATGATAAACTCTCTATTAATGTGTTCATTATATTAAAATTACTTATGTATGGCTTGCATACATATACATTTTTACAAAATAACTGTTTTGTTGAGTTATATTTTTGTTAATATACAAATAAGTTGGTAGTTTAAGCTTACTAATACTATCTCATTTTATGTGTTGTTAGCTTTTTTCATTATTAAGTATAATGAATATTATAAGCAGAATTACTTGAAATAATTAATCATAGTAATGAATATTTTCAATCAATTTTACATTATCTCAGACAATAACATTTTGAAATTTAATCTGTAATAAATGTTAACAGTTGGACAATATATTATATTATAAACAACATAATTTATTAAAAATATATTATCTGTTTTTATTCTAAAATAAAGTTATAGTAAGTGTTTAATTAACTTTTAAATTTATCAATATTTTTTTGAGTATCGATGATATAAAATGCATATATTATTCTAATAAAAATAGGAATAACTATTTAAAATGAATATACAAAAGTTATTTTTTGTGTAAATAATAAAATTGAAATGTCAAACGAAGAGAAAACTAACTAGGAATTGACTATTTTTAAATATTTTTCTAATTATTAAGTTTCTGTAAATTTAAATATTTAGATTCCTGTTTATAAATGATATTTTGTATTATGAGATTTTTTTTTTGTTTAATAGCAGAAAATTTATAATTTAAAAACCTACATATTTGAATTTAATTGCTAATGAATAATGTACAGGTTATGACAGATGGTTTATAGAAGTTATTTCATTTTCAATTGCAGTAAAATATTTTGGACAAGTGTTTTCATATAGAAAAGCTAATAGATTATAGAATAAATTATCTACAATAACTTATTAGTTATGAGATGAAATTGAATAAATAGATTATTTAATTTCTAA